GAGTAGAGTAGAGTAGAGTAGAGAAGAGTGGAGAAGAGTGGAGTAGAGTAGAGTAGAGTAGAGTAGAGTAGAGTAGAGTAGAGTAGAGTAGAGTAGAGTAGAGTAGAATAGAATAGAGTAGAGTAGAGTAGAGAAGGGTGGAGTAGAGTAGAGTAGAGTAGAGTACAGTAGAGTAGAGAAGGGTAGAGTAGAAAAGAGAAGGGTAGAATAGATAAGGGTAGAGTAGAGTAGAGTAGAAAAGAGAAGAGAAGAGTAGGGAAGAGTAGAGTAGAGTAGAGTAGAGAAAGGTAGAGTAGAATAGAGTAGAGACGGGTAGAGTAGAGTAGGGTAGAGTAGAGAAGGGTAGTATAGAGTAGAGTAGAGTAGAGTAGAATAGAGTAGAGTAGAGTAGAGTAGAGTAGAGTAGAGTAGAGTAGAATAGAGTAGAGTAGAGTAGAGTAGAGTATAACAGAGTAGAGTAGAGTAGAGTAGAATAGAGTAGAGTAGAGTAGAATAGAATAGAGTAGAGTAGAGTAGAGTAGAACAGAGTAGAGTAGAGTAGAGTAGAGTAGAGTAGAATAGAGTAGAGTAGAGTAGAGTAGAGAAGAATAGAATAGAGTAGAGTAGAGTAGAGTAGAGTAGAGTAGAGTAGAGTAGAGTAGAGTAGAATGGAACAGAGTAGGTAGAGTAGAGTAGAATGGAACAGAGTAGAGTAGAGTAGAGTAGAATATAATAGAATAGAGCAGAGCAGAGTAGAGTAGAGTAGAATGGAACAGAGTAGAGTAGAGTAGAGTAGAGTAGAGTAGAATAGAGTAGAATAGAGTAGAGTAGAGTAGAGTAGAATAGAATAGAGTAGAGTAGAATAGAATAGAATAGAAAAGAACAGAGTAGAGTAGAGTAGAGTAGAGAAGAATAGAGTAGAGTAGAGTAGAGTAGAGTAGAGTAGAGTAAAGTAGAGTAGAGTAGAATGGAACAGAGTAGGTAGAGTAGAGTAGAATGGAACAGAGTAGAGTAGAGTAGAGTAGAATATAATAGAATAGAGCAGAGCAGAGCAGAGTAGAGTAGAGTAGAATGGAACAGAGTAGAGTAGAGTAGAGTAGAGTAGAGTAGAATAGAGTAGAATAGAGTAGAGTAGAGTAGAGTAGAATAGAATAGAGTAGAGTAGAAAAGAACAGAGTAGAGTAGAGTAGAGTAGAGTAGAGTAGAGTAGAGTAGAGTAGAGTAGAGTAGAGTAGAGTAGAATAGAATAGAATAGAATAGAGTAGGGTAGGGTAGAGTAGAGTAGAGTAGAGTAGAGTAGGGTAGGGTAAAGTAGAGTAGAGTAGAGTAGAATAGAATAGAATAGAATAGAACAGAACAGAACAGAGTAGAGTAGAGTAGGGTAGAGTAGGGTAGGGTAGGGTAGAGTAGAGTAGAGTAGAGTAGAGTAGAGTAGGGTAGAGTAGGGTAGGGTAGGGTAGGGTAGAGTAGAGTAGAGTAGAGTAGGGTAGAGTAGAGTAGAGTAGAGTAGGGTAGGGTAAAGTAGAGTAGAGTAGAATAGAATAGAATAGAGCAGAGCAGATCAGAGTAGAGTAGAGTAGAATGGAACAGAGTAGAGTAGAGTAGAGTAGAGTAGATTAGAATAGAGTAGAATAGAGTAGAGTAGAGTAGAGTAGAATAGAATGGAACAGAGTAGATTAGAGTAGAGTAGAATAGAATGGAACAGAGTAGAGTAGAGTAGAATAGAATAGAGTAGAGTAGAATAGAATAGAATAGAAAAGAACAGAGTAGAGTAGAGTAGAGTAGAGTAGAGTAGAGTAGAGTAGAGTAGAATAGAATAGAACAGAGTAGAGTAGAGTAGAGTAGAGTAGAGTAGAGTAGGGTAGGGTAGAGTAGAGTAGAGTAGAGTAGAGTAGAGTAGGGTAGGGTAGGGTAAAGTAGAGTAGAGTAGAATAGAATAGAATAGAACAGAACAGAACAGAGTAGAGTAGAGTAGGGTAGAGTAGGGTAGGGTAGGGTAGAGTAGAGTAGAGTAGAGTAGAGTAGAGTAGAGTAGGGTAGAGTAGGGTAGGGTAGAGTAGAGTAGAGTAGAGTAGGGTAGAGTAGAGTAGGGTAGAGTAGAGTAGAGTAGAGTAGGGTAGGGTAAAGTAGAGTAGAGTAGAGTAGAGTAGAATAGAATAGAATAGAGCAGAGCAGATCAGAGTAGAGTAGAGTAGAATGGAACAGAGTAGAGTAGAGTAGAGTAGAGTAGATTAGAATAGAGTAGAATAGAGTAGAGTATAGTAGAGTAGAGTAGAGTAGAATAGAATGGAACAGAGTAGATTAGAGTAGAGTAGAATAGAATGGAACAGAGTAGAGTAGAGTAGAATAGAATAGAGTAGAGTAGAATAGAATAGAATAGAAAAGAACAGAGTAGAGTAGAGTAGAGTAGAGTAGAGTAGAGTAGAGTAGAGTAGAGTAGAGTAGGGTAGAGTAGAGTAGAGTAGAGTAGAGTAGAGTAGAATAGAATAGAACAGAGTAGAGTAGAGTAGAGTAGAGTAGAGTAGAGTAGAGTAGAGTAGAGTAGGGTAGAGTAGGGTAGGGTAGGGTAGAGTAGAGTAGAGTAGAGTAGAGTAGGGTAGAGTAGAGTAGAGTAGGGTAGGGTAAAGTAGAGTAGAGTAGAGTAGAAAAGAATAGAATAGAATAGAATAGAATAGAACAGAACAGAGCAGAGTAGAGTAGAGTAGAGTAGAGTAGGGTAGGGTAGAGTAGAGTAGAGTAGAGTAGAGTAGAGTAGAGTAGGGTAGAGTAGGGTAGGGTAGGGTAGGGTAGAGTAGAGTAGAGTAGAGTAGGGTAGAGTAGAGTAGAGTAGAGTAGAGTAGGGTAGGGTAGGGTAAAGTAGAGTAGAGTAGAGTAGAATAGAATAGAATAGAACAGAACAGAACAGAGTAGAGTAGAGTAGGGTAGAGTAGGGTAGGGTAGAGTAGAGTAGAGTAGAGTAGGGTAGAGTAGGGTAGGGTAGGGTAGGGTAGGGTAGGGTAGAGTAGAGTAGAGTAGAGTAGAATAGAATAGAATAGAATAGAATAGAACAGAGTAGAGTAGAGTAGAGTAGAGTAGGGTAGAGTAGAGAAGGATAGAGTAGAGTAGAGTAGAGTAGTGTAGAGTAGAGAAGGATAGAGTAGAGCAGAGTAGAGTAGAGTAGAATAGAATAGAATAGAACAGAGTAGAGTAGAGTAGAACAGAGTAGAGTAGAGTAGAGTAGAGTAGAACAGAGTAGAGTAGAGTAGAGTAAAGTAGAGTAGAGTAGAGTAGAGTAGAGTAGAATGGAACAGAGTAGGTAGAGTAGAGTAGAATGGAACAGAGTAGAGTAGAGTAGAGTAGAGTAGAGTAGAGTTAGAGTAGATTAGAATAGAATAGAATAGAGCAGAGCAGAGCAGAGCAGAGTAGAGTAGAGTAGAGTAGAATGGAACAGAGTAGAGTAGAGTAGAATAGAGTAGAGTAGAGTAGAGTAGAATAGAATGGAACAGAGTAGAGTAGAGTAGAATAGAATGGAACAGAGTAGAGTAGAGTAGAGTAGAATAGAACAGAGTAGAGTAGAGTAGAGTAGAGTAGAGTAGAGTAGAGTAGAATAGAATAGAATAGAATAGAATAGAATAGAATAGAATAGAATAGAATAGAACAGAGTAGAGTAGAGTAGAGTAGAGTAGAGTAGAGTAGAATAGAATAGAATAGAATAGAATATAATAGAACAGAGTAGAGTAGAGTAGAGTAGAGTAGGGTAGGGTAGGGTAGAGTAGAGTAGAGTAGAGTAGAGTAGAGTAGGGTAGAGTAGAGTAGAGTAGAGTAGAGTAGAGTAGAGTAGAATGGAACACAGTAGGTAGAGTAGAGTAGAGTAGAGTAGAGTAGAGTAGAATGGAACACAGTAGTAGAGTAGAGTAGAGTAGAGTAGAGTAGAGTAGAGTAGAATAGAATAGAATAGAATAGAATAGAATAGAATAGAATAGAATAGAGTAGAATAGAGTAGGGTAGGGTAGGGTAGAGTAGAGTAGAGTAGAGTAGAGTAGAGTAGAGTAGAGAAGGATAGAGTAGAGCTGGTGGGAACAGGGATGGGTGTAAGGTGTGGGGGTGATGTTTGGGGGGTGAGGTGTGGGGGGTGAGATGTGGGGGGGAGGTGTGAGGTGTGGGGGTGAGGTGTGGGGGTGAGGTGTGGGGGTGAGGTGTGGGGGGTGAGATGTGGGGGGGAGGTGTGAGGTGTGGGGGTGAGGTGTGGGGGGTGAGATGTGGGGTGTGGGGGTGAGGTGTGGGGTGTGGGGGGGAGGTGTGGGGGTGGGGGGTGAGGGGTGGGGGTGAGGTGTGGGGGGTGAGATGGGGGGGTGAGGTGTAGGGGGTGAGATGTGGGGGTGAGGTGTGGGGGGTGAGATGTGGGGGGTGAGGTGTGGGGGGTGGGGGGGAGACAAAGCCGGGGGAATGTGCGGCTGCTGCAGTAATGGCCTCTGTCTAAAAATAAAAAGTCTAAATGACAGTGTCTCGGTTTACAAAGGAAAGATGGAAGGAGACACAGCTCAGAGTCTCACTGAGTCACTCTGGTCTCTCTCTGGTCTCTCTCTATAGTCTCTCTCTTGTCTCTTTCTGGTCTGTCTCTGGTCTCTCTCTCTCTAGTCTCTCTCTAGTCTCGCTCTCTGGTCTCTCTCTGGTCTCTGTCATCTTTTTCTCTGGTCTCTCTCTGGTCTCTCTCTCTAGTCTCTCTCTGGTCTCTCTCAGGTCTCTATCTGGTCTCTCTCTGGTCTCGCTCTCTGGTCTCTCTCTGGTCCCTCTCACTAGTCCCTCTCTTGTCTCTCTCTCTGGTCTCTCTCTATAGTCTCTCTCTTGCCTCTTTCTGGTCTGTCTCTGGTCTCTCTCTCTAGTCTTTCTCTAGTCTCGCTCTCTGGTCTCTCTCTGGTCTCTGTCATCTTTTTCTCTGGTCTCTCTCTGGTCTCTCTCATCTTTTTCTCTGGTCTCTTTCTGGTCTCTCTCATCTTTTTCTCTGGTCTCTTTCTGGTCTCTCTTGATCTTTTTCTAGTCACTTATGTGGTAAAGATATGATCTGAAATCTCCATCCCCGGTGCCTCGAGCTGCTGTTGAAGACGATGGTCCAGAACTATAGAGACAGGAGAGGCTGTGATTGGCTGCTCGATGGTGAGACAGGAGAGGCTGTGATTGGCTGCTGCTCGATGGTGAGACAGGAGAGGCTGTGATTGGCTGCTCGATGGTGAGACAGGAGAGGCTGTGATTGGCTTCTCGATGGTGAGACAGGAGAGGCTGTGATTGGCTGCTCGATGGTGAGACAGGAGAGGCTGTGATTGGCTGCTCGTAGCCCCTCCCATCAGGAAAGCTCTCACACTCTCAGCTCTGGGATTGAGCCCAATAGACAAGAGCAGACGTGTGTGTGTGTGTCTATGAGTGTCTATGCGTGTGTGTGTGTGTATTCGTTTGTGTGTCTTTGTGTGTGTGTCTATGAGTGTGTGTGTGTGTGTGATTTTAGCTGCAAGAATCTGAAACGCTGCCTCTCCATGTTTAGTCCTGATTTTGGGACCAGCAGGAGGCCAGTCCCTGTGCTCCTCAGATGGCACTAGCAGGTTGAGACACATGGTGTTTCTGAGATAAAGTCTATAAAAGACATATTTCCACCTACACAAACATGACCGGAGCCACAGACACTTCACTCTGTGACAGAAGCAGCCGCTCTGCAGGAGGGAGTCACATGGGGAAAAGCTGCCCTGGGGCAGACTGAGAGACGCAAGGCAACCAGTTTGTGCAATTGGCCCCACTCTCCCCTGACCCCTCTCTCACCTCTCCCCCCTCTCTTCTTTCTCCTCTCTCTCCCTTATCTCTCCTCTCTCCCTCTCTCTCCTCTCCCTCCACACACCTCTCTCACCTCTCTCCCCCCTCTCTCCCCGATCCCTCCCCCCTCTCTTCTTTCTCCTCTCTCTCCCCTATCTCTCCTCTCTCCCTCTCTCTCCTCTCCCTCCACACACCTCTCTCTCCTCTCCCCCTCTCTTCTTTCTCCTCTCTCTCCCCTATCTCTCCTCTCTCCCTCTCTCTCCTCTCCCTCCACACACCTCTCTCCCCCCTCTCTCTCCTCTCCCCCTCTCTTCTTTCTCCTCTCTCTCCCCTATCTCTCCTCTCTCCCTCTCTCTCCTCTCCCTCCACACACCTCTCTCACCTCTCTCCCGCCTCTCTCTCCTCTCCCCCTCTCTTTTTCTTCTTTCTCCTTTTTCTCCCCCTCTCTAAACCAGGGCTGGAGTAGGACTAAACCAGGACTAAATCAGGTCTAAAGCAGGTCTAAACCAGGACTAAACCAGGTCTAAAGCAGGACTAAACCAGGTTTAACTAGATCTAACCAGTGCTTCCCCTGTGTTGTCCGTCAGCGCCCCCTCTGGTCAAACACACAGAGTTGTTTTTCAGTGAATTGTTTTTGTGTCTCGTCTTTCGCGCTGCCCTCATTCTGCTATCGCTACATCTACACTCCCTCTTCACCGCGGCTTATCCTCTCTCCCCCTTCCTCTCTCCTATCCTTCTTAAACGCTGCCTCCCCAGGTTTAGTCCTGAATCTGGGACCAACAGGAGGCCAGTCCCTGTGCTCCTCAAAGTCCCAGCAGGAGGCCAGTCCCTGTGCTCCTCAGAGTCCCAGCAGGAGGCCAGTCCCTGTGCTCCTCAGAGTCCCAGCAGGAGGCCAGTCCCTGTGCTCCTCAGAGTCCCAGCAGGAGTCCAGTCCCTGTGCTCCTCAGAGTCCCAGCAGGAGGCCAGTCCCTGTGCTCCTCAGAGTCCCAGCAGGAGGCCAGTCCCTGTGCTCCTCAGAGTCCCAGCAGGAGGCCAGTCCCTGTGCTCCTCAGAGTCGCAACAGGAGGCCAGTCCCTGTGCTCCTCAGAGTCGCAGCAGGAGGCCAGTCCCTGTGCTCCTCAGAGTCCCAGCAGGAGGCCAGTCCCTGTGCTCCTCAGAGTCTTAGCAGGAGGCCAGTCCCTGTGCTCCTCAGAGTCTTAGCAGGAGGCCAGTCCCTGTGCTCCTCAGAGTCCCAGCAGGAGGCCAGTCCCTGTGCTCCTCAGAGTCCCAGCAGAAGGCCAGTCCCTGTGCTCCTCAGAGTCCCCGTAGGAGGCCAGTCCCTGTGCTCCCTAGCTGAGTCCCAGCAGGAGGCCAGTCCCTGAGCTCCTCAGAGTCCCAGCAGGAGGCCAGTCCCTGTGCTCCTCAGAGTCCCAGCAGGAGGCCAGTCCCTGTGCTCCTCAGAGTCCCAGCAGGAGGCCAGTCCCTGTGCTCCTCAGAGTCTTAGCAGGAGGCCAGTCCATGTGCTCCTCAGAGTCCCAGCAGGAGGCCAGTCCCTGTGCTCCTCAGAGTCGCAACAGGAGGCCAGTCCCTGTGCTCCTCAGAGTCGCAGCAGGAGGCCAGTCCCTGTGCTCCTCAGAGTCGCAGCAGGAGGCCAGTCCCTGTGCTCCTCAGAGTCCCAGCAGGAGGCCAGTCCCTGTGCTCCTCAGAGTCCCAGCAGGAGGCCAGTCCCTGTGCTCCTCAGAGTCCCAGCAGGAGGCCAGTCCCTGTGCTCCTCAGAGTCCCAGTAGGAGGCTAGTCCCTGTGCTCCTCAGAGTCCCAGCAGGAGGCCAGTCCCTGTGCTCCTCAGAGTCCCAGCAGGAGGCCAGTCCCTGTGCTCCTCAGAGTCCCAGCAGGAGGCCAGTCCCTGTGCTCCTCAGAGTCCCAGTAGGAGACCAGTCCCTGTGCTCCTCAGAGTCCCAGCAGGAGGCCAGTCCCTGTGCTCCTCAGAGTCCCAATAGGAGGCCAGTCCCTGTGCTCCTCAGAGTCCCAGCAGGAGGCCAGTCCCTGTGCTCCTCAGAGTCCCAGTAGGAGACCAGTCCCTGTGCTCCTCAGAGTCCCAGCAGGGGGCCAGTCCCTGTACTCCTCAGAGTCCCAATAGGAGGCCAGTCCCTGTGCTCCTCAGAGTCCCAGCAGGAGGCCAGTCCGTGTGCTCCCTAGCTGAGTCCCAGCAGGAGGCCAGTCCCTGTGCTCCTCAGAGTCCCAGCAGGAGGCCAGTCCCTGTGCTCCTCAGAGTCCCAATAGGAGGCCAGTCCCTGTGCTCCTCAGAGTCCCAGCAGGAGGCCAGTCCCTGTGCTCCTCAGAGTCCCAGTAGGAGACCAGTCCCTGTGCTCCTCAGAGTCCCAGTAGGAGGCTAGTCCCTGTGCTCCTCAGAGTCCCAGCAGGAGGCCAGTCCCTGTGCTCCTCAGAGTCCCAGCAGGAGGCCAGTCCCTGTGCTCCTCAGAGTCCCAGCAGGAGGCCAGTCCCTGTGCTCCTCAGAGTCCCAGTAGGAGACCAGTCCCTGTGCTCCTCAGAGTCCCAGCAGGAGGCCAGTCCCTGTGCTCCTCAGAATCCCAGCAGGAGGCCAGTCCCTGTGCTCCTCAGAGTTCCAGCAGGAGGCCAGTCCCTGTGCTCCTCAGAGTCCCAGTAGGAGACCAGTCCCTGTGCTCCTCAGAGTCCCAGCAGGGGGCCAGTCCCTGTACTCCTCAGAGTCCCAATAGGAGGCCAGTCCCTGTGCTCCTCAGAGTCCCAGCAGGAGGCCAGTCCGTGTGCTCCCTAGCTGAGTCCCAGCAGGAGGCCAGTCCCTGTGCTCCTCAGAGTCCCAGCAGGAGGCCAGTCCCTGTGCTCCTCAGAGTCCCAGCAGGAGGCCAGTCCCTGTGCTCCTCAGAGTCCCAGCAGGAGGCCAGTCCCTGTGCTCCTCAGAGTCCCAGCAGGAGGCCAGTCCCTGTGCTCCTCAGAGTCCCCGTAGGAGGCCAGTCCGTGTGCTCCCTAGCTGAGTCCCAGCCGGAGGCCAGTCCCTGTGCTCCTCAGAGTCCCAGCAGGAGGCCAGTCCCTGTGCTCCTCAGAGTCCCAGCAGGAGGCCAGTCCCTGTGCTCCTCAGAGTCCCAGCAGGAGGCCAGTCCCTGTGCTCCTCTGAGTCCCAGTAGGTCTCTAGTTACTTTGATCACCTACAAGTGGAACCCTCTTCCCCAGAGCACGTGGAGGCAGCATGATCTCTGATTGGTCCTTGTGACAGGGCCCTATGGCCTCATTCAGAGTAGCTGTGGCGCCCTCTGCTGGAAAGCCACGGCATGACGTCACACAGCTACGTGACTCATGTTGAAAGTGAAAGTAAAGCGTTTTGTGGATCCTGCATCCTGGTGGGGGGCCGCTTGACATGATGACAGCGTTGCTCCCCTGTCTATAAATTGAGAAATCGCAAAAAAGACAACCAAATGGGACTGTGACCTAATACTATTGAAAGCTTGAGTGACGAAACCCTGTTGGAACACTTTTTGGTCTGAAGTTTTGCTTAAGGTGAGGAAAAACGGCATTTTAATTGAGGCACGGGAAAAAGTCAAGAAGCTAGCTTTCATATTTCCCGACGGCAAAATGGAAAGAAACTGGGAACAGAAGCCAACGGGGGAGATATTCACACAAGAAATGGAAACCAGTGAGAACAAGGTTCAGGGTGCTGTAAATGTCAACGAGAACAGTACACCTGTTAACGCAGCTGAAAAGTCTATCCACAAACGGAAAAAAATTGATAGTAACGGGGACGGCGCCAAGAACGAGGCAATTAGCCTTTGTGATGTGCTAGCGTCACTGAAGGAGCTGTCCAGAAAGCAAGATGAAACTTTTCAGAAAGTTTCAGCTATTGAAGCAACAACGGAAAATACATCCAAACAAATGGCAAATCTGACAGCTACGGTGGTGCGGGTTGTGGTGGATGTTGACCGTCACGGGAAGAATATACTGTAAAAGATGTTCAGTCTGAAATTTTGAAGCTGAAGGAGGAGAACCGGCTTCTTAAAACAGCGGTGGAAGAGTGCAAGCGGTACAGTTGGAGATGGTCGCTAAAACTACATGGCCTCAAAGAAAATGTGAATGAAGATGTGAGGAAAGAAGTCATCATCGTCCTAGGGAAAGTTGCTCCCGGTTTGCAGGTTTACCTGGAGGATGGTGTGGATATCGCTCATCGTCTTGGCCCAAAGAGAACGGATGGATCCAACAGACCAGTCATCATCCTGTTTGCTCTTCGCCGTATCCTTGATGCTGTGTGGAAGTGTGCCAAAGGCTGCAAATTTCTCCGCGACAACAAGCTTCGTCTCACTCAAGCGCTGTCTCCCGAGGACAGACTTGCAAGAGAGAAACTCTGGCCCCTGGTGGACAAAGCCAGGAAAGAAGGGAAGAGAGCCACCCTCATCGGTCCCTTCGCGCTAATCGATGGGAAGAAGATTAACCACTGGGATGTGAAGTAATGCATTTGGTGCACTACATTTAGCCTCATTCTACTCTCCAGCACCTTTATGCTTTGGCAATACTGAAATAATATTATAAGTGCATTCTT